AGTGAGATTTTGCGCAGCCTTGCAACTATGCAGTCATTTAAGCCTTTTGGCACTCGTCGAGCTTCACAGGCGGCTGAATATTCCCTATGTTGCACTTTAATACGAACACTCTGAATACTGGCAGAGAGGCCCGGCCTCACCGTTTGCATTGCGCATGAACAGTTGCTGACCATGTAATGAGCCCATCCGTTTACAAACTCCTTCGCCTGAAATAGAGAGCTATTCGTGCATTCGAATCCTCACTGCCAATTGATATCGACGCAGGTGCCAAGGATAGAAAAATCATTAGGTAAGAAGTATCTGGACACCCAACGCAAGTTGGGTTTGGCATACCCATTAGGAACTGTGCGGCACCATGGTAGACATATAATGATTGCTGAGATTCTCCAGGCAAGATGTGATGGTATTGAACAGGATTCGGAATTTGCCGAAGCCCGAGAGCACAAAACTCCAACACGCAAACTTAGACGTTTATGTGTCATAGGAACCTCCATCTCTCTGGAGTTTCGAACCCTGTAGTTGAACCTGCTGTGATATACATGCCAAATTTACGTTGACGACCTACAATTGGTAGTTCCAAATTATGAGAAACGATGCCCGGACTGTATTCTCGCACTGCACTGTTACATCATAGCGACATATTCATTGTTAAAGCAAAATCACAAGTGGCACATCCACGTAAATCAACATTGATTCAACATTCAACGTCAACATAGCTAATGTTAAAACAACATTGGACAGTTAACGCTGATGAATAGCATTTCAACATGGCATTGAAATGCTATTTTAACACGTTGACCGCCACGTGACTCACATTCACCATAGGGAAGAACAGTGGTTCCAAACCCCTAAGCGGACAACTTTTTAATGTGCCTTGAAGAGATGAGGATGTCGATGATGAATATTGATCTAACCATAAGAGCAAAAAGGATGTTGAATCGATGTTTACTGTACAGGCTGTGATTCGCCAAAGATAAATACATTGAAACAATGCAGCTCTGGGCGTCACATGACTTTCCTCATGGTAAAGGTAAAATTTCATCGCATTAGTAAATGATGGACAGCTTCTTGAATTTTTTTCATTGTGCAACCAAAGGGTCGGCTGAAGGGGTATTAAAATGGAGTCGAATGCTGTGATGAAGTTTCTAAACTTGTAGGTATCGATCTCCTAACAGATCATTTAGGGGAGGGTCAGTAGGGCACTATCCTCTCAGCTGCAGAAAGATCAGCCAGAATATTGACTCCTTCAAGGTTAAAAAATTCATCGCAGAACTTTTCTTAATTTTAATATCCCTTCAGTCGACCCTTTGATTGCACATTGAGAAAAATTCATAGAAGCTTTCCATCATTTGTAAATGATATTAAATTTTACCAGTTCACATCAAATACATATGTCTTCCCATGAGAAAGATAATAATGGTGTATTACAACAGAAAGTGTCTCAGACCGAAAACTTTTTGAACGCCCCTCATATCTCGTTCTGAATGAAAGAACTCCAGTGAATACTGCTTCTCCTAGTTTGTCCCATGTAAAGCCATATTTCCTTCGCTTTGTGATATATTTCCTATCACCCCTAGGTTTTATTCCCTACTGGTGCCCCGTGTCCGATAATATAGGTCATCCGGGCATTAGAGAACGAGGTAGAGAACTCTGGCCGTCAATGAGAGAAAAAAATAAATTTTCCGATCTTTTATTAAAATGACAAGAACAAAGAGAAATGAAGCAAATGATGGGTAACACTCAACTGAATTGACCTACTTCGGTCCGCCTGAGAAGTTCCTTAGCTACCATTTGCATCAGTACTATCGACTTATTGAGCTGTGATGACCCTGTTTCGTTCGTGAGAAGGTTCGAAGAAAATAGAAATGATTTCTGTCTGGAAAAATTATGAAATAAAATTAAGTTTAAATGATCTGGTACATCTCAACTTATGATGTATTTTCTCAATTATTGTTGGAAAAAAATTATGGTAACACTGACGTCCTATTTGTGCTCCATCGAACACCGAGGAGGCCGGTAATGACAGCCCGTCTACAAGCTCATTTGTCGACCCTATGGGCTGGAGGCGTCACCCTTTATATGCTTATTAAGGTCCACTTCCTTTCTAAAGCTTGGATGGCCTATACCTCTCGTTCGATCACTTTCACAACGAGCGAATCTACCTTCTCTGAAGGAGTCTGACATGGCCTGCGTAAGAAGGCAGAGAACTCAATGCGGTCCGAGAATGTGTTGTTACTAAGTAGGGCTCCTAATTGAACCATCCAACCCCTCTACCGGAATTGTCTTGAGTCTCCCCAGGCAGAGTTACTCTTGACAAATTTCTTGAAGAATTCCAATGTCTTCCTCTCTGTTGTCTGCGGAAAAAGTTTTGGGACCTTATCAAGCATGCTGGAGATATATTTTCCAGGGGCATCAGGGATTGACGCCAGTGTAGCGGTAGAGCGAAGCTAACTTCCTTGGAATAAACGATCTCGATGACGTACTATTGAACGGGGGAGAGTTACATAAAGGGTTGTTTTTAGACAAAAATATTTTCATTATGTCAGACGCTAAATTATTACTTAAATTATTTGAGGATAAAAAGTAGCATTATTATTATCTCGATCTCGCGTTTGCATTCATTCGCGAGATCGGGATGAAGTAGGAAATACAAAAGGACCTATGGGTAACCAACGTTGATCCAATGTGGAATCAGCTTGAAATGACGATGTTCAAATTTACATGAAATAAACATTGATTTGGCCTTTCCAGTCACGAATTATTTCCAGCCATTTTTTAAATCTTATTTTTGAATGAAAAGCAATATCACCCAATGTGCAAATTAATTTATAATTTCGAAGGTGCTCCCTATAACATCAGCTGCAATCAGATAATTACTTTGTTGCCTAGGGTGAAAAATGTCTGGGTGGATCTCCTGCTTCGTGATAAGTGCCTTATGAATGAATTTATAAATGCATTGTGTGTGAAAATAAGGGTGTCAAGGAAAGGCCTGAAATACAATTAAAAAATGCATATCTATGGAACGAAGTGATGTACTGTATTTCCGAACGGTTTGCAGGAAATGCTACACTCATCAAGTTTTTTTTTGGAGGTGGGGGGGGGGAGTTCATCAATCTCGATGTGTGCGACTTTTGTAGCTCGGCACGCGTCCAATCGGTACTCCACCTCTTGCCAAGTGTTTGTCAGCATGTCTGGGTTACGGTGTTAACTGCAGCAACAATTCTGTCGCATAAAAATGTCACGTTGTCAGTCTTAACATGATAAACATTCTTTCACATAACCCCACACGGCAAATTCTGGTGGGATTAAGTCAGATGACCGTGGGAGCCATGTAATGGGTCCACCTCTCCCAATCCGACGGCTCGGGATATTCTGGTCCAGAATCGCACTACAGGGCATTTCAAAAGTCACTTCCGCTGCTAAGACGACTGCCCCCAGGAAACCGTTGTGAAATTTGGTGTGTACAGTAGACCAATTTGACCATGTGGAAGAAAACGTATAGTTTCGTGGTGGCCTGTTATGACATCGAGCCACTCCATGATGCCAAAGTCAAGTGTGGTGTAGTTTCAGCCAGTAGTTGCCAGTAGTTGCCAGCTTTATCCTGTAGTCACATTTCTTTGAAGAAACAACGCCCACTGGATATCAAACCGTGAGTCACCAGGACTTGATACCATGATTTGCTGACGACCCTACCTTCCCTACCTTCATGAACGTGGCGTGATGCATCAATTTTCATGCACAATGGTGCTCCATCACACATTGCAAACCCTGTGAAAAAAATTATCCGGAACACTTTCGGAGAACGTGTCATCAGTCGTCACTTTCAGCAATCCTGGCCTGCAAGATCGCCCGACCTCACCCCAGCAGACTTCTGGCTTTGGGGTTACCTCAGGAGCTGTGTTTACCGCAATGGTCTCACCACATGCCACGAAGGAGGGCATACGGCAGGGAGTCCGTTCCATACCCCCTGGCATGCTTCGAGCAGCAGTTTGGAATGTGTTGTCACGATTGGAGATTATGACAATAACAAAAGGAAAGCACATCGAACAGCTATTATATTATAAAATGATGATATTTTTGGACCATAGATACCATCTAGTGTGACCATAATGCCACCATAATCCACCCCATGACTGCGTACGTTTTCTTCCACATAGCCAAATTGGGCTACACACCAATTTTCACAACGTTGTGTCCATCAGTTTCCTGGAGGCAGTCGTCTGAACAGCAGAAGTGACTTTTGAAACGCCCTGTACATCGCTGCCGCAGAGCGAGGGTACCCCATCTTATTGGAAGAATATGTCATCAGGTAACTATGGGATTGCAAAGTTTTCTAACAAGTCCTGATATGTAGCGACATTCACAGTTTCTTCGGCAAAAAGAACGGCCCAATCACTCCAACACCGCACTACACTTACACTTTTGGGGAGTCTCGTCCTTGCTCAATAACTGCATGAGGGTCTTCTTGCACGAAGTTATGGCGATTCACTTACGCGTCAGAGCATGTTAGAAAACATTGCAAACCTACAGTTACTTGATGACATAATCTTCCAACAAGGTGGAGTGCTGCTACTCTGCGGTAGCGATGTGCGTGCGTTTCTAGACCAGCATTTCCCGAACCGTCGGATTGGGAAAGGTGGACCCATTACATGGCTCCCACGGCCATCTGACTTGACCCCACTATATTTTTTTCTTGTGGGGTTAAGTGAAAGACTGTTTATCATGTTAAGATAGATAATGTGGCACTTTCATGCGACAGAATTGTTGCTGCAGTTAACACCGTCACCCCAGAGATGCTGACAAACACTTAACGCAAGATGGAGTACCGATCGGACATGTACCGAGCAACAAAAGGTGCACACACCGAGAATGATTACCTCCCCCCCCCAAAAAAAAAACTTGATGAGTGTACCTACCCTTTGTTGCAAAAACCATTCAAAAGTACATCACTTCATTCCAGAGATATGCATTTTTATTTTATTTCAGTCTTTTCTCAGACACCCTGTAACTGTGATTATAAATATTAAAAGAAAGTCATGATCGATATGCGTTCTGGCAGGTTGAATGTACTCTTCAACAAGTCCTGATTGAGCATTCGTTGATAAACCTTTCAACGCAGATACCCTAACCCAACGCAGATATTCCCAACCAGATGGGTCGCCTGTCGGCAAAGAAAAGCCCGCCGCAGACCGCACTCGATCTCTAAACCTGGTCCTGTATAATGGTAACCTTACCATGCCAGGGTGCATCTTCATGGTAAATTATCCATGTTTGAATGATTAAATGTCTATCCAGGAGAGTAAAGTATCTAGAATCTCGGAGTAGCTTTAAGACAACATGACCAAATTCGCTAAATAACTTCACAGTTTTCGTGTTTTCTGTAGAGCCACTTCTCTTCGACGCGCTATTTGCCCCTGGCTCTTGACTCAGAATGTCACAGGGATGCAGCTCATTCTTTTCTTTCCAGTTCAAACAAGAGGCATGTCCATCACAGAGAGATCTGTAATGCACAAGATGATGTTGTACAGTATATCACAAGATCTGGTTTCTTGCCGAAAAACTGCGCATATGCTGAGGAAAGCGTAGAGAGAGAAATGTAGCGATCATTCCTGAGAACCAGGACCAGGACTGGGTGAGGAAGCCGGGGTGACCTTCACAACAGGGACGAGGAACTTGGGTCTTTGGTCCAAGGGGAGTACATTGCAAACATTTCGATGCATCACCACACCACTTGCACAGACGGCAGCTGTCCCCAGATGTCCGGCAACTGATGTACTTCGTCTTTGCCCGCGTCGAAAGGCCCCCTTCAACTTGGTCTTTATCCACGAGTCTTTTCCTGGTTGGAAACGACGGCAAGATTCCTCACTTGGCCACGAAGTCAAGGAATGTCGTTTTGGGGCGTCTTCGAAACTCAGCTCCCTACAATAGGAACTTTCCAACACCTCCGCACATAGATTTCGACCACAATATTTGGCCCATTCCAAGGCCGACAGCCCACGACCGAAATCCCGGAGGACTGGATTGGCCCCTGGAAAAAGAATGGGGATTGATGTGAGATGATGAGGGGAAAATTACTCGCTGAAAATTCTTGCTATGAAGAAAAGGAGGAAAAGCAGTAGACCTGCTTCCAACAGGAGTTGAGCACACTTGGATCGACCCTGAAGCGCAGCCTTCATTAGAGCCGTGAACCCCAGGTCGTTTCTCAAGTCCAAGTCAATGGATGACTTGAACTGCGTCACCAAATAATTAATGATCTCGTAATGGCCTGGAAGAAGGAATCAAGATGCATGTACTGTCTGCTGAAGACTGCCCGATGTCTTCGAGGGGAGAGGGGTTGACCTGCTTGAGCGGCGTAGTGAAGTGGTGTGTTACCTTCATTGTCTGATTTGTTCACGTCCACTCCGAGCAGCTGACCAATCTCTTCTACCATCCCCAACTGACCGCTCCCACACAAATGACTCAATCCCGTCTGACGCAGCAACAGAACGGAACAATGATCACATATGAACTTATTCATCACACAAGGACCTTGCGCGCATGCTATTTCAGGTTCGATTGTTTTCCTGTTCGTTTATTCTCTGACTTGATGGGCATCAAAGGAGGCATTGATACAATCGCATCCCTTGGTAACTATTTCCCTAAAGATTTTAACCTGCCATCGAAAGCCGAAACACCAAACAACGAAACAGTTCCAAACTAAAGGTTGAAACTGTTTCGTTGTTCCTATGAGGTAAGAAGTCTCCTCAGAGAAGACAGAGGGCATGACTGAAATCGTAGTAACGAAGTGGAACATCATTGGCCTTATTTAAGTCCGTAGAGGAGCAGTCATCAAGCAATCACATGTTATACCATCGTAGTTTCAAGGACCAGAGCAACAGTAGGTTGAGACAGAAACTTGAGAGTTTTTACCATCAGTCGAACCATTTAACTTGCGTGACGGTGAAGATTTCCTGGCGGTACGATGAAGGAGTAATCCATGTCAATGCTTTACGTTGGACCACCCAGAAGAGGAAAATAAAAAGTCTATGATGACCTTGGGCAATTTCCTCCATGGGAGCAAGACATAACTCACAGTTCTCATGGGAGATTTCAATACAAGATGGGAATGAAAAAGACCAATGGGAACTTTAACATTAGACAAGAAATGAGTCAGACAAGAAACGAGCTGCCAAGTGCTAAATATCAACTGTCTTCCAGAAAAAGACAGAGAAGAATGTGCTGGAGAGGCCCCAATCGGAAGGTTAAGAATGAGATACAGGGTGAGCCAAAGAAAGTTTGGAATCTCTGCTACACTTCAAAGCGCAACTTCCCCGAAAGTTAGCTATCTATAATAAAAAAAATCGTTATAGCGTCTCGTGTCAAAAATTTATTCAGTTTTCCCCAGGAGTTGACATGTTTACGATCCCTGTCGAAGTTTTCATCCTGCTACAGGTAGTATATCAGAGATAGCGCCTGAAAAGTGGACTTAGCAGTACCCTTTAAGGCGTACACAGGCGGTATCTATGTCTTTTCTATCACATTCGCAATCTTGCGAGGGTGTTGTCCACAGCTCTAGTGACGATTTCAAGGTCTAGACCTCGAATCTAGGCAAATAATTTCCTGCTTCAATTCTTGCAAGTCTCCCAAATCCCCAGAACAGCGTCTTTTAGCAGATTGTCCAGAGGGAAGAAAATGGAAAGTGACATTAATCTGATCACAAGATGTTATGCAAAAACTTTGGATCACCTAGAACGTTCTCCAAGATCCTTCTGAAAAGAGAACTCATTGTTAATTTACTCTGTTCACGGAGACCATGTAAGGGAACAGCTGCAGTTTTCGAGCATATTTCGCGGCAAGACATGCTGGGTATTCTTTCACGATAAGCAAGTTGCCAAGTTAAATGTTTAGAAGCATAGAAACAATGTCACTGATTTATCCAGTGTTTACGTCTGTCACAACTATTTTGGATCTCCCAGAGTTTCCTGAATTCAAATTCTTAACTATAGCGTGCTTCTTGGAAGTCTTCATGACGTTTGAGATGGCTCGATCACATGGCGGTTAGTTGCCGATCGTGTTCCCGAAACGCTGCTGCAGGTCTTCCGCATCAAGGTGACCAACCCATAACCTTTCATTCTTGTACCTGGAAGCCCATTCAGCTGCTAAACCTCTCTCCTTATCTGTCATTCGAGGCTTGTTGCTCGCAACAATACTCCGTACGCCAAAAATGTCCCCTCCTAATTGAGGCATATTATGCGCAAAGCAGCAAAACTCGCTGATTCAATCCGTTCGAAACGAGTTGGCGACCTCTTCCAGCACCTTCCTTTCAAGTCCTACCTCTAATACTCTTCTTGTAACTGCATGAAAACAATGACACAGATCTTAATTATGTTGACATCAATGAAAAGCTGAACAAATGTTCCATTGAAAGATTTTTTTTGGCTAACACTCAAGACGCTGTGGTGTGACGTAGTACGAATCTCCAAAGTTTTTTTTGGCCCACCCAGTAGACTCCCTTCCATCTGACAGAGTGAACATTTGCCAAGACGCCTAATAGATCTGACAAAGGTAAATATGAGGAGCGACTTCCGAGTGATATTTAGCACCAAACTCGAAAGAATGACGTTGACGAGGAAACCAGACAATGTCGACCTTCGACCTTCCCTGTTCAATAGATAAGATCAATGAATTCAAGATCAACATAACCAACTACTTCGATACCATGAACACCGTGAGATAAAGAAGTACAGGTTTCGAATGAAGAAATCACCTAAAAATCCAGGATGCTGGTCTTTCTTGGTCAACAGCAGAGGAGACGCACAAAATTTCCTATCAAACAAAAGGTCTGATTGGGAAAAGCAGAACTTGAAACTCTGGAAACCTCGAACCTTATTGAGTATTTTGAACTCTGGAAGACCATCTGGAAGAAGTTCTGGAAGGGGTTAAAGTACTTCAGTATCACACTGTTAGAAGCGAAAAGTGGGCAAGAATATCCAAACTGCTAAACGGAAAATGGTTAGTGAGAGGAATAAGATGCTGTCATCAGGAAAGAATATGGTTTCATCACGCGCGACCAAGAAAGGATCCCGAAACGAGCCCTAGTGTTTTACCAGAAGCTCCACACCAAAGGAGACGAAGAGGGGGCATGATTCAACTCTCCATACTGCCGAAGAGGAGGCAAAACCTAGTATCACCATGGAAGTGAGCAAAGCCTCTCAAGGGAATGAAAAGAAACGAACCACCTTCTTAATGCTCGCGATCGTTACGAATGAAAGATAAGCAGCTCAACTAAGCGGCTGATAAAGATTCGTGCTCTGCATCCCGCAAAAAAAATATATAAATCCCATCTGCATGGATGAATGCAGTGATCATCTTACGGCATAAAATGTTAGAGCAGAAATATTTCAAGTAAGTGACTCATCAGTCTTCAGGAAATTCTCTACCAGCTCTTTACCAATATTCTGAATCACAGAATCAAAACAACGAAAAAATATCAATCATTATAAGACAAGGTGGGCTTCAGAAGTGGACTCTCAGAAGTGTTGACCATTTACATGCCGTCAATCAACTTATCATCGAAATACAGGACACAACACCTTGCCCTTGTACACTACAAGAAAGTCTTTGATTAAGCAGAAATTTCAGCTGTCACGAGAGAACTTCAAAACCAAAGCATCCAGGAGTCTTTAATCCGTCTGCTTGAGGACATCTATAGCAATCGTGCAGTTCCCGTCCGCTTGAACAAAGACAGCGGAAAAAGGTAGCATTAAAAGAGAAGTTTAGGTAGGGAGACACGATTTGAAGTTCTTCATGGTCTGCTTCGAATAAATGTTCTGGAACTTGAGAGATGAAATGCATCAATAAAGGACAACAGAAAATAGGGTAGAGAAAAGATTCCGTATCACAGCAATTAACATATTTCGTTAATTGGAACGAGGTGGAGATGTTAGGAATGGGATCGGGGTAATTGGCATGAACTGGGGGAGGCATTCATTTAGCAGTGCACGGAAAATGACAGAAAATTATGATGAAACATTGAACCTGGAAATAGGTAAACCAACATCAGCATCCACCTTGCGTTATGCGTCTGGAATCTTTTCCGATATGACAGTCTAACGAAAGCAAACATATACGTGGTATATTGACAAATAAAGGAAACTGGCTGAAAGAAATCTTGCCAAAATCTCTTTGTCGGCTGTGCCAAAACCATAGATTAAGTTACCCAAGCTGTTGTCTCTTCATTTTTTAAATAGAGAATTCTTTGATGCATGGCTTCGGGAGAGGGTCTGTGAGGAAACGGTATGTGAAGACACACCGATGTGCTGGAGCGTTGTCGTTGTGAAGGCTCATCCCTTCCAACTTTACCCACCTCTTTATTCATTTTTCCAGTATTTCTGGGAAACAGCATACATCTTAGTACTGTATATCATGTTCCTGTAACAGCTCTCCCCATTGGCAATGGAACCAGGTCCACCGCGAGCGACATCAATATGGAAGAAGGCAGCATACATGGTCTTCTAGACAGACACCTTAGCGTTTGATATACAGTGTGTCCACAAAGGTATGAACCAAAAAGAAATCATTGTTACTCGGGCGATATGTGTATGCAACCGTTGAAATTGATAAGAATAATGACTAACACTCCTAATGTTTTTTCCACCGGAGTTTGTAGCGCCGCAGTGCAGCTGAGATGACATCACCACAAGAAAAAGCCAAATGTGTCATCTGGTGCGCGAAACATGAGAGTGTGTGTGCCAGGTTAAACGTCAATTCAGAAGACACAAGAAAAAGGCGTCATGGCCACTTGAACACACACTCTGAGTTTCTGCAGATGTGCCTCATCTCCCTACTGCGTTTTATGGTCCACTCGTCCTGCCTCTTTAAAATTGCGATACCACCACACAATGCTCTTCCTACTAGGTGCCTCGTTCCTCTTAAACAACCCAATAATAACTCTTTTTGGCATGATGTCAAATAAGGACTGTTCTCGTATCTGTCAGCGCCTGTCTGCTCAGCTAGGAGAAGGAAGTGTCAGATCGTGCCCGGAAGAAGCAGTCAGATGCTATGCTTCCACAATGACCCACTGGACATGGCATGGAAAAAGCTATTACTAAGATTCTTAACTATTAATTTCATCTTAAATTTCATGAAATCTTTTCCCCATAGAGGTGAGACCCTGTGAATTTCCTGCCGAGACCCTTTATAGTGTTGCGTCGGTAGCACAGTAAATTTGGAGTTCTTACAGAACATGCTAGCATATCATTCGGGGAGGAAATTCCTATTAAGAATCGTATATCGATGTATATCGAAACCAGTAATATCGAAACCTGTATATCGAAACCAGTAATGAAACCAGCTGTAACTTGAAAACCAGTCCCCCAAAAGAGGGACTGGTTCTCGAATACTAAGGGGACAAGATTTATTTTCACAGTAGCTTCCCAGTATAAGGGGAATCCCTACGATTTCTTGCAGTTTTTCGGGATAGTCGAGAATACCCTTTGGTCGTTTTGATGAGGAATGACCTCAGAGGGAACAGGGTCCTGCGCTCTATTATAAATAGGAGTTCCTCCGTTTCTCTTCGACGGGACATAGCCTTAATAATGTCTTGGAGTAGTGTCTTCAATTTCGTAGGTAAAGGAGACTAAATGACGTAGGTTTAGAAACCGGCGATCAATATGGAAATGGAGTGCATCGACTTTCAAATGATATTCGCTTGGGGAGAAGATTTAGGAAGGAGATCTAATTTGAGGCATTTCTGATTAAGGCCTTTACCACGAATTTCCTCATCCACAGCTTCAACATAATAAATGTTGTGAAAGACATTGCCATGCATAGATATATTAGATTGTTTAGTTCGTTTATAAACGAGGTCGACAGCCGCTCCTCCAGGGCTTCCGCCATTTCGCAGGAACTCTGGAGGACTGTGGTTACCAAATTTGAAAATTCCTAAGGAGGCTAAACTTTCGATTTTTAAGAGCGTTTACCTCCTCACTTTCACCGATGGTCATGAACTTTAGGTATGACCCGAAGATCAGGTCGAAAATGACCGAAAAAAAAAACAGGTCGCGGATACTAGGATGAGGTTCTGGCGGAGGGTGGCCGGTTCCACGCGTCGTGAGAGGATGCTAAGTGCGGCAGTCCGTGAGAACCTCCAGGTCGAGCAGCTACGCATTCGGATCAAGAGATCCCAGGCCCATTGGTTTGGACTCGTCTCCCGAATGCCTCCCGAGAGGCTCCCAAAAAGAGTCTTCCAATCTAAATTGATCGGCAAATGATCATTCCGTCGGACTCGTGCAAGGTGGACGGACTACATCTCGAATCTTCGCTACGAGGGGCTCGGTATACCACCTGCAGTGCTCGAGTCCGATGCCTAAGATCGCTAACATTGGAAGATGCTCCTGGGCCTGCCCGAGTCACGACCCCAATAAGTTGGGATAAGCAATTTTGAAATGTATGCCTGTACGCATGTAATTCAGTTCGTTGCATGTGAATGCTTCCTTTTCAACGAGGATCTAAAATATTCTCTTTGTAGTTTCGATGGCACCACGAATGTGCTGAATGTGAATTTCTCAAATGGATTTCCCAGGCAATGGAACAGAACTTCTTTCTTCCAGTTTTTAGCAATCGGAAAGTGCTCCTTGATGGATTCTGATTCCAACAATATGGTACGGCACACCTTCACATTTTGGATCGATTGTGCACAGGTGATTGGATGAAGCGTCTTCTGGGAGATGGATTGGACGTCGCGGCCCAACAACTTGGCCAGCCTGACCTCCGGACCTTACGCCATATTACTTTTCTATCTATGGAGTAATGTGAAATTCAAAATTTGTGAGAAAAAAACAAAGAAACAGAAATGTCTAAGATTTGGGGCAATGCATAGGAATAACCATCAGGAAAATTCACATCCGGCACATCCGTAATGCCGTTACAACTGCTTTGAGGCAGTGAAAATGAAGGCACCAAAGTTGAAGTTCTTCACCGATTCCGAAGGTACTCACACAACAAACTGGTCTGTGATATACTTATCCGTGGTATTAACTTCCGAAACATTTATAATGAAAAACAGGTACGAATCCATTAGTAAATTCAAGGTCACCTTACAATTTCGTATCCGGCACCGTCATGTTGGGATCATGGGAAGAGAGGGGACAGAGAAGTTTCGATGGGAAACGTACTCTTCCTGTGGAGTCCGTCTGGTTGAAGGTGGATTCCGAGATCCCTACGAGCCCAGCACTTTTGATAATATCTCGTAATTCAACGGCATTCCCAGTCTGACAAGCGACGAGAAAACGCCTATCCAAGCCAGGCGATCCGGAATGGGCATCAGAGGAAGAGGATTTCGAGACGCTTATGAATCGTCCATGAACTGGGGATGGGATCTCTGTAGTCATCGGACCAATCACAGCATCTGTCACTTTCCGAAGTGGGACTGGTGACGGTCTATCACCACCTCCTCCTCCATTCATCATAGACATCTCTCAATCTAAAGGAGAAGCATATACTCTATGTAAAGAGATCTGCTGGGAATGGGAATAAAATCACAAGAGATTTTTAATCTAAATACCTCTGTTCTCACTGGAGTTATTTTCACAAAACCTTCGGTGTGAATACATGCATTTTCTCAAGAAACCTGTCAAATTTCATCTAAGTTTGTTCCACCAAAGCAAGACTATGAGTTCTTATTTGTCAAAAATTCGAAATTGAAAATGGTTTGGAAATATAATTGAAGTAGTCTAGTCACTTCAAAGGGACTCCTTTGAAATGACTAGACTACTCCTCCTCTGACACAGAAGGGGGAAAAATCTGAATCAACTTTGAGCAAAGTCTCCGTATTAATACGTATTGATTCACCAGGCATTCCTTGAAAAATGGCTTACAAAAGGCAACTGTGGAATCTTCCATCTATAAAAGGCCTGTAAAATTCCCATTCGCCCACTCGACAGCGACGAGCACTTTTTGCTGCTTGACGAGTGAAAAGCAAATTAAGTATTATCCCACTCCCCCTAGTTTGGGCTTCTGCCTTCTACCTACCTTTGTGTGAGTTTGCATAGCTCATTCTATTATCCAAGACGCGTCTTAGTGTAGGCCAATACTTGCAAGACCTGCGTATTCGGCATTGGGGTCGGGGCAAGAAAAAATGTTTCCTGACTGGTGAAAGTTGAGAACAATTTTCGGGAACAATGCACATGCACAACCCATGCACAGTGCAAGTTTCGTGAGAATAGCTCAAGTGAATGCGGAGATATTTCGGTTAAAAGTCGTTGGTCTCTTCTTTTGCATGAGCCTAGTGATCGATCACACGAGAAAGGGGGGAGGGGGGGGGGGAGAGGCAGCTGGAGGGAGGCCGGATAACAGGAAAGGTTGGAAGACAGGAGGATCTGATGGGCTCCAGTCACGTCACTCGAATAGAGATGAAACAAATATATCATTTTAAAAAAAAAATAGTATCTCCTCTATTCTCCACTCGGCTACTTGTATGAATCACGGACATGAATGGGAAGTATAATATCAATACGAAGGACAGTTGCCATGGGAACGAAGGACTTCCCATTATCCACTCTCTCTATGAGGTCTATGCAGATCAGGAGAGAAAACCAATAATTCTCGGAAGCTCCTGTAACTATCACGTGAACATGGTTTTAAATAGCCAAAGAAAGCAGCTAAAAAAACATAAAAATGACAATATAAGAACGTCAGGAGGTAACCAATGAACATTACGGCATTGAGGAGGTCATCCCAGAGTCAGTCAGATGAGTAAGTTTTCATCACGCCCTATAGGATGGCAACTTTCGGGTTGACTGATCGCATTCGATACAAAGTAACTCGGAGATACTTCGAATTGAAACCTTATATTGATTTCATGCATAAGCGCGTATTTATTGTTTGAGCTTATTTACACATGCTTTTGGAATCAGCATTTAGGGGATGATCACCCAACCAAGTGTATGCACCACGAACTACGCTCAGAAAATTAGAAAGAATTTAGTGCGGAGTTGCAAAGAAAAAAATACGATTAAACACGACAACCTTCCGGATATCCTAGACACTCGGATTGAGACCTGGCAAGGGGCCAGGGCTGGAGGTGTGGGCGCAGACTGTAACTGGAATGTCTATGGTAGTCCCTCTGCTAGAGGCTACCCAAACGTGCTCTCTCCAGTCTCCTCCTCCCCGCCTCCCCGCTTGCCCGCATGCCTCGATCCCCCTTTCTCCCTCCTTTTCCCTCTCTCCTCCGTCGTACTCAGCCAACGCGCTCCCACTCCGAGATGCACTACCCAATCCTCTTTTGACCATTAATAAGGAAGGAGACATACCGAGTTGGATGTTGAGGGACGGAGACGGAGGCGGAGAGAAGATTCACAGGAGAGACAGGACAGAAGTCTCTCTAGGATGGAATTCTTTCATGTTCAGTAGGGCTTGGGAGTGAAGCGAAAATACTCAGACCCCTTTTTGGCCCTTTGCCTGCCTTCTACTTCCACTCGGCCAAATTGCGCCTTCTTCATTCCTCTCTGGCAACTGCGACCGTTGAGGCTTGAATCTCTGCGACGTAGTTTGTCTTCGACAGCTATCAACACAATCAGATGGCTTCCCCAAAATTGTAAACGTGTTTTCTTTCCGCAATGCCAAACATTCTGTTCGTTTTCCAGGATCAGAGATGGAAGAGCGCCCAGGAACAAGATCCTGAGTGGCTGTAACAAAAGCCTGCTTCGTCTTACAGTGACAAATTTGAAATCTATTTCATGTAGTCGCATTAGGTAGCAGCAAAATGTTGGCTAAGTACTAAGTTACCACTTGCTGTCCTCTATCAGTCGGTATAAAATTGACCAAGTCTATTGCTGTCCCCCCGAGACTGCTTCCGAGACGAGAAGTAAGCAGCAACTATTGCTGAAAATAAAATAGCCTATTGCTCTCACAAGTCTTCAAAATAAAAAAAGGAATCGAGAAACTCCTGGAAATGTTTTAACATCAAGCAGAACGAATAGCCATTCTGCAGTAACTATTAGTACAAGAATTTATTATTCAATCTGCAGCCCTGAACACACATAAGGAATATGATTTTAAAACAATAAATGGTGTTATATATGTGTAGGTATATTTTGATAGATTTTTAGAGGGCAATGCATTTGAATCCCTCTCAATCAAGGTAATTATAAACAATGAAATGAATTCCGTATGGCAACAGTCAAAGCCGCAACACACCAGGTATCGGTGGCAACTCCAAAGATCTCAACAAACACCTCCAGGTTTTTGAAAATAGGCCAAACAGAAAATGGGTTCGCTGAAGGAGGCTAAAAGGGAGAGATAATGAAAGCTCTACGCTAGATTATTGATGCAATCGACCAACTTCGTCAGGGGCTGTACGGCCCTGTCAAAAGAGTTGATGGAACTGGTTTCTGCTGTCAACGCCGAATTCCATAAAACTACAGCGGCAAAGAAAGTACAGTAAAGCCGTCATAGCGAACTCATACAAATAAATTTTCCTCACAGCGAAACGATTTTTTAACCTCAGCTGAATGCTCACAGAAACTAAACTATAAAAAAAATAAACTCCCGCTCCCAATGAATTCTGCAGCAAATAAAAAATCATTATTGCGAACAAATCTGAGAACGGTTCCCGATCTCCTCCTTCCTTTCTATCCTATACCCATCACAACGAAATCTTTATTCACGTGACAAGTTTTCCGAGTTTACAGCGTAACGGGCGATGGGTAATTACGATTGACAGACCGCAGGAAACACGTGGAAGCAGGCAGAGGAGTGAGGCGCACGTTGCAAGGGAAACGTGAGGGAGAGAGGTATGGGGGGCAAAAGGGCGGATGTCCCTCTCCTGGATCCCACGTATTCCATGGGTGCTATCACACACGCGAAAGCGCACGCAGTTTCACGCTGCGACTAGCATGCCCCTCCCTCCTCTCATTCCCAGCAGCCAAGGCTCGGGTCTCTGTCGTTCCCGCTTGCATTCTCTCTCGCGACTCTCCCATATATTTTGGGAATTTAGAAATATAGCTTGGTCAGCTACGGGGAGAGAAGTAGCATACAGTTGAACAGCCCGGGATCAATTATGCGTAGGCATATTAATAATAAAAAACTGCTGGAAATAGTTCACAATGAACTCCCCTAATATTGAAGTAATTTTCATGACTCTGCATTTTCCTAATAACGGGATTTTACTGCATTACTAAATTCAAATATTGCTTCAGCTGAAGTCCTTCCAAACCATCTACTACCATTGAATAGCCCAACTGGTCTAACGGCTGTGCTACGTGACAATAACCAAAGAAAGGAATCAACTTTTAAAATACACTCTGTCCCAAACAATTTTGGAACCTTTTTCAATTTTTAGCCAATCGTAATTGGTTCAGGCAATCGCTATGCACCTTTGACTAATGCATCAAATGAGCACATGCATGCAAAGTTATAACAATATCCATCCACTGATTCTTTAAATACAGGAGGTGATTCAGAGTGCGCCAGTAGTATCAAATAATAGAGTGTCGCCAGAATTGTACGGGAGCATCAGTCCAAATTCAATCTTGTGCCTCACAGGATGGCTGCATGATGCGCATGACCAAGATAACTGCAATAATCTTTTCTGTTTGACACTTGGATGAGATGCTCAAAGAGCCTGCCGTGTCATTCTGGGAACAGGCACGTGCCATTGATCGAAACCCAAACGCTGCACGGTTCGCATTCTCCTGCGACGAGGGAACGGGGGAACGGTGAGTTCCCTCTGACCGGCTGTGCTCGAGCCGAGTGCGGCCGGCGGCAATGATCCGCCGCAACCTTATTTAGAATAAGCTGCTGCATCTCCGAAATGAATCTATTAATTTTGATACAACTTTACCTGCATGTGCTCATTTGATGTCTTAGTCAGCCCTCAAAAGCGCACGACGATAGTCTGAACTAATTACGAGAAGCTACAAATTGAAAAAGGTTCCAAATTTTTTTTCAGGACAGTGTATGTACTAGTAAATGTGCGTGAAATAAAATTCCATAATATGTTGTCAAATAGAGGACGGAGGAAGTTCAGCATGGATAGAAATGACAATTCTCAGCTTTAGTTTGGTAATATAAGACCATATTCCCGTGAAAAGGAATTTGAGTAACTCGTACCCTTAGGGATTGAGACGCGTTTCGACCATTCTAAAGGCTTATTCTAGAGATTTTTTGTATAATTATTCCCATCCTTTTCCTGGGGTTTATATCAAAATCTGTTCATCCTTTTTTTTAACGCCTCCATATATAAAAATACGCTCGCACTCTGTCTCCTATCGATATCATTTCAGAGAAATTTGATGAAAATGACCGACGCGACTGACTCGATAGGCATTTAGCTATTGTTTGGCTTTATTCCGAATTCGATCGGAAGCATTACATGCTACACTTCTTAATTTACAGAGCTAGGTCCCTAGAATTTTCATTTTCTCCTTCAGTAGCTTGGGATACTGTTTCTTGCAGATAGACCACTTTTCCTTTCAAGCTTTCAACTGCTTTCTTCAATGAAAGGAAAAGGGGTCTATGTACAAACACCACTTTTCCGTTTTTCAGAATTTTTCTGCAGATAACCACTTTGCCTTTCAGCCCTTCAATTGATTCAGCTTCGATCTTCATCTGCTTTAAGAAAAGAATTTCACATGACGTGATGAAAACGATCTCATTTTTATTTCTTCTGCACAATATTCCAACCAATTGAATGAGTTGCTGTCATCAGGGCCTGTGAGACTTTGAATCTATACAATTCATGAGGATTAAGCCAAACCAAAACCGTTCCATCAGCAACACAGCCAAGGACTTCAAAGTTGGGTGGAGGTAATTCTGAATCATACAAACAATGTTCAATGATATCAATCAATTCCCGAATGAAAGCATAATTTGTCTGTCCTGCAAGCCAAAAGTCTCCAAGCTCAAATTCCATTGTTGAAGCAATTAATTCCAGATCTGATGCCTTCCAGTTATTGCTTTGGCCAACAGAGTACTTAGTCTTATTATGAATCCGGGTCCAATGAAGAAGATCGATTTCAGAGAATTCAAAACTAGTGGGTGAAGCTATGGCCAAGGCAGACCTTCCCTCAAAAGCAGTACGAATAATAGTTTTTTGAACAAAATCCCATTTTCTAGACTCCTCAAGGAAGATTGTCTGTTCTGGGCGCTCCACTACGATTGAGTCTTTGTTTTCAATTATCTGCATTTGCGTCTGGAGTCCAGAGTCCGTCTTGATCTTCGGGGTGAGCAGCTAGGGTTGGGAGAAAAAAGTTGAAGATTAACTTTAATTGAACACTTGTAACCATGCAAAATACATATATATACAGGGTGGGGCAAAAGTAAGGAAACAGGAATATTTGGGAAATCTAATTTTCTAAGTGACTGCTTGATGGCAGCACATTTCCGTGCCTCTTTTTCATCAATTAGACATAAAATAGTCCAGAGACCCAAGTAACACAGTATGTTGATGAAACGTTTTCGAAATGTTGCCTATGTTGCAAGTTGATGTACAACATTGATAAAACATTGCCTCAACGTTTCCGTTGGAATATTGCTGCGGCACCTCTACGAATGTTAGTGCAACATTTTCTATCGACATCGAGAGAATGCTGACACTCTTGACATTGACAACGTAGCGACAACATTCTGATAAAACATGGACTTATAATTTTTTAGGGAATTGTAAAGTTGTCCTCCTTGCCACGAGATGGAGGCGTAGGTCTCCCTTTTATAATATAATACTTTGTTGGAAATAATGGTATTCTTGATTAAATTGAAAAAAGCTAAAATTTTACATTCAAGCTGTAGTGGTGATATTATTTTGGCCAATACTGTACTTTTCTTATTTTGTTTAGTTTTTTATTAGCGAAACAAAGTAGCATGGGAACATTGGAGGTGTCTGATACAGTATTTTTTTGGCTAAAGGTGATAATGTGAACTAATAAATGAAGTCATAATTTATTGCATAGCTCACTCACTTTTTTGGCATTGGCAATCATAGACGGTGCTAGTGGGGCAAAACGGGGTCACGATGAGGGGGCAAAATTTGGCGGTATAGTGGCCCTATATACTGTACGAGTATCTCTTCTCTGGCTGGAATATCCATTACAACGGTGAGACTCAGGCTGACGCGATGCGTTACTATTCAGATTCGTTCTCTCGCTCAAAGCCCGGTGATGGTTGGGTGACCTGCTCTGCTTGCCGGAATTCAGCTCATGAAAGCTGTGCAGGCATTGATGACGACACGGATGAATACGTGTTTGTCTGTGACTTCTGCATGTTTGCATCTATGATGAATACATGGATAACAATTTGAAATAACAACAATTGTTTTATCATAGAAGTTTCATAGTTGTTTCCGTTCTGTGGCCTTAGTAAATAGGCATGGATATAATGAAAATATGAGAAAATATCTGATTGGAAAGAAAG